GGCGGGGAACAGCTAGACCTTAGTGCCACCCATAATACGCCACATTGCAGCCTCCACCAGCAGCCCTGAGAGCCACCAGGAGTCTGCCTCGTGGTGCTCTGGCAGCGATTTATAGGGTCTGGGGTTTTGGCCACCACCGCTGCTGCAGTAGCCATGGCTAGGAACCCCAGGTCCTTTAGAATCGCCGGGCTCTGGGGCAGTGCCCCCACCCAGTCAGCAGGCCTGCCTGGCTCCCCGTGGGAGGAGTCTGTGGATCAACCTGGTTTAGGGTCGCCAGATGGCTTCACAACCGAACCCAAATACCGAACTCACTTGCCTGGTAGTTGGAGTCTTCCCCATTTTTTTTACTGAACGGAAGAAGCAAATACCGGGCTGTCCGGTTCAATATTGGACACCTGGCAACCCTACCTGGTTGTTGAACTGGGCACGTTGCTCCAAGCATGGACGGGAGGGTCCGGAGGCCAAACTTCTGCCAAGCTCCTAACAGCCTCCAGCGCCCACTCTGTAGCAAGGAGACCCGCGACGCATTCTCAAACGGCCGACTTTCCCCACCGGGAGCCACTGACCTCTCCCGTGGGCATGCAAAGCTTCCAAGCCCAGTCGCTCCTCTCGACTCTCAACCCCAGCCACGCTTGGAGACTCTGCAGCTGGAGCAGTGACAGCCCCAGCGGGTGAAACGTTGGTTATTTTTATAAAGAAAACCCCCCAACTCTGTAGTTCATCCTTGCGCCCCATGGATGTCTGGGCAAGGTGGCTGCAGAATCGTAGCCCGCTGACCCAGTGAGGTTTGGTACAGGAAGGACTGACGGGCCGATGGATTTCATCCTTTCCTTCTGCCAGCAGCGCTCCGGGGTTGGTGGGGAAGTGAAGAAGAGAGATGCTTTGGGCATTCCCTCGACTTAGCCGGCGGACCTCTGCGAGGGACCCCACCCTGTCTTTGAAAAGGAACGTGAGGGTCCGGTCACCAGCAAACCGGGGATGCTCTGCATCGTTCTGGCAACGCCAAGAAGCAAGAAACGTCGTGGAACTGACCGACAGAGCCACGTGTGTGGTTCCTTTCCATCTCCCGTTGCGGCATGGCACGGCACCATCCTAGCGCACCGGGGAATCCGGCCTTTCGTATTTGAGGGTAAACGTTTCCAGAGCGTTTAAATGACTTGGGCACGTAACGCTCATTTTTCTAAAGAAGCTTAGGCTCAGATGATCTTCCGCAAACATCGGTGGGTCCTGGCCTGCTAAGTCACTTAGGGAGTGTCTAGACTACAGGGTTTTGTTGACAAAAATGGACTTTTGTCGACACAACTATACCTGCGTCTACACTGTCGCTGAGTTCTGTCGACATAACATCAACAGAACTCGGCAGTTTTGATGACGGCGGGAAACCTCATTCTACGAGGAATAACGCCTTTTGTCGACAGAGTTCTGTTGACAGAAGGCGTTATTGCATCTACACTGTCCTCCGCGTCTACACTCTCACGTCGACAAAGGGGCTTGCTTTGTCGACAGAACGGGATGCCGTCTAGGCAGTCTTTGTCGACAGAAGCTTTGTCAACAGTATCTGTCGACAAAACTTCTGTTGACAAAAGCCTGTCGTCTAGACATACCCTTAGGTCCACGTTGTAAAAGGTGTCGAGGAGCTTCAAGCTGCAGATAAAACAGGGCTGGGCACAATGAGGCCCATGCGGATCCGGCCCACCTAACGCTTTGATCCGACCCGCGGATGGCATCTGGCCGCGTTCTATTTATATCCAGCTGTCCGATTTCCAGCCAGTGGCTAAGGCAGCAGGATCCTATTTAAATGGTTCCCGGCTCCCAGTTGCAGTGCTACCCCAGCAAGGACTGTAGACAAGAGCCTTTTAAATAGCTGCAGCAAACCTGGGCGGCTGCCAGGCCATGCGGCAGCGGTGGAGCCGGGGGCTGCGAGCGGTTTGCTGTGTTTTAATTTCAGAGCCTACGTCCCCAGACAACTCTAGTCCCCAGCCCCGCCCCTTCCTCCCCAGGCTCCGCCCCTTCCAGAGTAGAGCCGGCTCATGACCATGTATCAAAATTAATTAAGTCCCTTCCCCCGTCCCCCGTGAATGTTTTCACCCACTCCCGAGGTAGGGTCTTAATGGGATTTTCGACAGTGCCTAACTCCCAATGACTTTCAGAGGTGCCCTCTGCATTTGTAGGCACCTAAATACTTTCAAACGTCTGGCCCGAAGGCACTTCTGAACCCGTTACCCTAAGTCGTCCGGGTCACATCTATTTGGATACTGGTCTGGGGCCCCCTGGATGGATTTCAATCTTTCTTTTCACAGACCTCTGAAGTTTCCTCCTTTAAGGCCCTGCTCACAGAGATTTTATTTCACTAGGAGGGTGGTGAAGCACTGGGCTGGGTTCCCTAGGGAAGTAGTGGAGTCTCCATCCCTAGAGGTGTTTAAGTCTCGGCTTGACAAAGCCCTGGCCGGGTTGATTGAGTTGGGATTGGTCCTGCCTAGAGCAGGGGGCTGGACTTGACCTTCTGAGGTCTCTTCCAGTTCTATGATTCTATGATTTTCTTGATCTCGTGGCTTTTTGCACATGCAATGACTAGGCCTACATGCCTCGTTCAGCGAGCCCAGTGGTTTCCCTAGACCCCAGCGTCCTGCCTGTGTATAAGATGAGTCCTTTCTTTGCCTCCAGGAAATGGCCAGTTTGTCGTGCTGGGGTGTTTATTCCGAGGCGGTTCCTGTCGCCCTGACAATTGCTACCTGGATGAGGAAGAGATCGGGAGCTGCCTGCGGAGCAACAGGATATGCTGCAAGAGAACGTCATAAAGGACGCCGGGCACGTAGGGACAGAGTGAACCGGGCCAGAAACTCAGGAGAAATCTGTGCGGGACACGTTTCCTTCAATACACACCTCACGCGGCCTTCATAAAAGGGACGTTCTGAACTTCCACAGCCGGGTGTGAATGATTTGGTCTCCTCCACACGGGCCCATCTGCCCCGTTGTTCTCATTTCAGGTGTTGCCACATTCACAGTGGCTTTCAACAAGCCCTAGGCGTACTCCCCTCACGTTACCGTCCACAGAACCCCACGGCTGGAAGAGACCTCAGGAGGCACCGAGTCCAGCCCCCTGCCCAAAGCAGGACCAGCCCAACTCCATCATCCCAGCCAGGGCTTGGTCCAGCTGGGACTCAAACACCTCTAGGGATGGAGATTCCACCCCTCCCTAGGGAACCCAGCCCAGGGCTTCCCCACCATCGTAGGGAAATGGTTTGTCCCCCTCCCCAGGGAACCCAGCCCAGCGCTTCCCCCCTTCCTCGGGAAATAGCTTTTCCTAATATCCAACCTAGACCTCCCCACTGCAACTTGAGCCCATTGCTCCTTGTTCTGCCACCTGCCCCCACTGAGACCAGCCTCTCTCCAGCCTCTTTGGACCCCCCTGCAGGGAGTTGCAGGCTGCTCTCAAATCCCCCCTCGCTCTGCTCCTCTGCAGACTAAACAAACCCAAATCCCTCAGCCTCTCCTCGTAGGCCATGTGCTCCAGACCCCTTAATCATTTTCATTGCCTTCCGCTGGACCCTCTCCACTGCGATCGCATCCTTTCTGTAGTGGGCGGCCCAGAACTGGACACAATACTCCAGATGTGCCCTCCCTAGAGCCGAATAAAGGGGAATAATCACTTCCCTAGATCTGCTGGCCATGCTCCTCCTAATGCCCCCTAATATGCCGTTAGCCTTCTTGGCTACAAGGGCGCCCTGTTGACTCATCTCCAGCTTCTCACCCACTGTAATCAGCAGGGCTTTTTTCTGCAGAACTGCTGCTTAGCCAGTCGGTCCCCAGCCTGCACCAATACTTGGGATTCTTCCATCACCTCATCAGATTTCTTTTGGCCCAAACTTCCAATCTGTCTAGGTCACTCTGGACCCTCTTCATGCCCTCCAGCAGATCTATCTCTGCCCCCAGCTTAGCGTGACTCTACCAGAGCCCAGTGACAAATATTGCTACCTGGCTAGTTTCTGGTTTCATTGCCAGCAGTGCTAATGCAGTGAAGTCAGTGGAATGCAGCAAAATTACATCGGAGTCCAGCACCTGGCTGGCCCACGCGGTGTAGGTAGGAATCGGTCCCTGTCAAGCAGCGTTGTCATGAGGGAAGGACAGGAGAAAGCCTTCTTGTGAAACGTGGGGGCCCCGTTGGCCAGAATGTTCCGCATTGGATGCCCCTGACCAGACCCCATATCTGGGTACCAACATGACTGGCTGTTAGCCGAGGTGATGGGCAACCCAGCGAGCGCCCTGGGAGTGACAGGCGCTCAGCGCCGCTGAGAATCGGGCCACTGGTACCTCGGTGCCCAGGGAGGGACACGGGCGCTCGACACCGGCCAGCACAGCCTGAGACTGAATGCCCCAGGCACACCAATTCCTTATTCACAGGCCCCGGACCCTGCTCCTAGCTCTGTGTCCGATGGACCTCACAGCACCTGCAGCACTGACCAGTCCCCACCCCTCCCTCAGCTCAGCCTTCCTGGGGACATGCGACCCAAAAGCAAAACATCTGGAGCGTCACTGAAAGAAGTGTAACCCACAGGCTGAGAGTCCAGCCTTAGTGAAGGGGCGGGTGGCATTCAGCTGATGGAGTAGAAGCTCACGGCTTTAACCCCCACGATCCCAGGCAATGTTCCGTCCACATTTTTTCCCATCCGCGTGCAGAATAAATATTGTTTGGTGCGCCAAAGCACGCGCAGATGTGCACCACCAGAAGAAACACATGCTCCCGGCTGTGGGGGCTCTGCTAATCATCTGGGCAGCACCTGAATCTCTCCTGGGAGGCTGCTCAAGTGCTCAGCTTACAGGGAGCACTGGGCCCAGGTTCAATCCCGCCTATGGGCTGGATCCATTTTGTGTAAGGAAACCCACCAGACGCAGCTCCCATCGGCCGGGTCGGCAGAGTGTGCGACTCACGAGCACTGAGGAGGCAGCTGCTGAGGGGTCCCAGGGTGAAGATGTCTTCCCCTGCTGCCTGGCCGCCTCCTCACGCTCCGTATTTGGGCTTTGAATGGGCCATTTGCAGCTGGGATACTGTGTGTGTCTAATTCCTCACGTGAAATCACCACCACTTGTGACCAAGCGCCCCCGGGGCTGGTTACGAAACATGGGACGAGGGGAGGGAAAGGATCCTGAAAGCCTTTGTGAAATGGAAGGAAACTTTCTGATGGGTTTCCTGCCAGCTCTAGTGTCCTGTGACAAACGAAACCCGAACGTCCCACAGTCCGTCTGGCAAGACAAGAGAGAGGCCTGGCTGGGGCTTGCATTGAAAATGAATGGGGGAAGGGGAGCTGGTGTGTGGGGATGGAGTGAAAGGGGGAGGGGACCTCGAAGGCCTCCAGCATGGGGCGGGGCAGGGGGCGGGGCAAAAGGGTTGGTTTTTCTGGAATTAGAATATCGGCAAACCTAATTCTGATTGGCTAATCCAGGAGGTTGCTGGGCCCATTGTCACCTCACAATGGAGGGGGAAATTCTGAAGTTGTCCCGTGCCTCTTTTCAGCCAATCACAAGGCAGGATTGTGTTTGTCTCTGTGACAAGCAGGTTCCGAGCCGGTGGCTGGCAGAGGCGCCGTGGGCACTGCCGTGGGCACACCGCAGAGTGGGAGCCAGGCTGTGCTGGAGGCACCAGGTGACCCGAGGGCGCTAAGGCTGTGAGCGTTGCTGGAAAACGCTGGCTGCATTCAAGGGCCCTTGGCCTTAACCTAAGCCAGGCTCAGCATCTCCCTTGCTTCCCCTCCCTGCAGGCGTCTGGGGGTGGCCGCTGCCCCCGTAACCTGCCACGGCAGCTGGGCGTGGATCTGCTGTGGCCACCGGAGCTGCTGGTGCGAAGCAAGTTGGGAGGGTGCTGAGCTGTGAGGACCAGGTGATGCCAGCTCAAGTCATCGCCTTCATCTGTGTGTGTGTCCCCCGCTGGTGGGGGGGAGAGCGCCCTCGGAGGGGCTCAGGGCTCCTGATCCCAGAGCTCACGGCCCCCCAGGGAGCAGGGGGGCTGTAGGCAGAAGGACGGGGACCCTACAAGACGCCCGTAGGGGGCTCAGTTTGGGGACGCGAACGGCCGGGTGGGATGTGGGTTGGCGATGGGGGAGGTGCCGGCCTTTGCATGTAAACGGGAAACGGGCCGGTGTCAGACGATGACGAGGGTTGGCCATTGCTGGGGGGAATCAAGGCAGAGATGAGAGATCGTTACAATTAGTGTTACCATGGCGCCTGGGAGCCCACGTCATGGGCCGGCCTCTGTCATGGCTCCGGGGACCATTCACATCCTGCCCATCCCTGGGCCGC